GTGCAGTAGAAGTGATATTTTTAATGAACTTTTGGATGGATGGATGGATGGATGGATGGATGGATATTAAATAAAAAATATAAGAAGTGTAATTCCAAAAAAATGAATAAACAACATAGAAGTGCACAAGAACATGATGCTTTGGGGTTTGGGGGGATTCCCTTTGGGGGTGCATAATTCATTTGTGGTTGCTGGAGCTGAGAATAGCTGAAACAGAAAAGGTGGGTAAACAGCCTTGATTCACTGAATGCTTTCTAAAGAGTTTTAAATAATTGTTTTAAAGTGTTCATGCACCAATTAAGAATCATTTTGCCCATTGCTGGGGGAACTCTTTCATTTGGAAGGAGTCATAGAGAGCAGTCAGAGGTCTTAACTTGCGGGGGTGATGTCAAATAACGTTTGAGAGAGAAACCAATAGTTTGTAGGAAAGAAGCTGGAATAGTGCTGTAGACAGGAAGACCAGTTAGGCAGGCTTTTTCTCTGGTCCAGGCAGGATATAGTGATGACCTGCACTAAAGCAGTGGCATTAGGACTGTAGAAGACAGAATGTAAAGGAAACAGTAAGGCCTCTTTTCTTTTACATCCCTCATGTGTTCCTCACTGCATAATGTGGGGTTTTATCCTCATAAAAGCATGTCTCCGCCCATAAAGCCTGGGATCAGAAGTCTATAAATACAAGCTCAGCAAGAATTCAGCCAGAGCCCAGCGCTCTCTGCAGAGAAGAAGCCTCAGTCTTTAGAAAATAGTTCAGCTTTATTCAGAATTCAAGATCTACCTCTCCAGGAAAGGTGGAACAAGAGGATACTTTGCTAAATTTAGTCAAACCTAGAGAAACACAGGCGGTTCGTTTGTAAATTTGGTAACAGTACATCCTGTGAAATAATGTTCACATCCAAGAATAAAGGAATCCCATAAGGGAGAACCAGAAGGTTCTGTTGCCCACTGGATTTCTTCTGTACATTCACTCAGATTTCGTGCCTGTTACTGTCAGTTTCTTAGGACTTCAGTGCAATCTTTTTAGAATTACCAAAATATTACCAAGAGTTTATATAATACCTCGTTCAGAAGAGTCATATTTTATTCTCAGATGAAAATCAGTGCTATCCAAGTGGAAGGGATTTAAAGTACTTAACCTGCATAGAAAGCTGGCTTGCCTAAGAACTCTTGAAAAGTTCAGTGATTTTGCCCTTTTGTAATTGTTAAAACGTAAGGCAATGCGCTGTGCTCTAGCATAGCACAGTGGTCTCTCTCTAATGGATTTTATGGCCTTAACCTCTTTAAAAGAAAAAAAAAAAAAACAAAAAAAACAGAGATTTGTAAACTACCAGGATGATCAGAAAGCCAGTGCAGGAGCTAAAAAATAAAATATTTTTTAGACTCAATAGTGGATATGGGAGTTGATTATCACAAGCATTATATTTATTTTAAGGAATTAAATTAGGTGGCTTAGCCATTTGATGAAGAGTCCTGGGGTCCATGAACACACCAGGGAACACCAGACCGCTTATTGTGTTTATTCCCTGGACGTAGTAAACACAGGCCATCCCTTTTTTTCTCCTCCAAATCCAGACAAACTTGAGGCCTTGCCATTGACTCTTTAGGGCTAATTTGAGTCTTTTTTTTTTTTTTTCCGAAACTTGTCATTCTTTTCTTTTCTTTTTCTTTTTTTTCTTTTTTTTTTTTTTTTTACTATTATACTTCAAGTTCTGAGATACAGGTGCAGAATGTGCAGGTTTATTACATAGGTATACACGTGCCATGGTGGTTTGCTGTATCCATCAACCCATCATCTACATTAGGTATTTCTCCTAATGCTTTCCCTAATTTGAGTCTTAACCTCTCCGTATTTCCAGTTTGGTGTTGATATCATAAGGATTGGGCCAGGACTCTGTGTATTTTCACTTAATAATTAAATTGTGGTAAAGCAGATGACCTGAACAAAGTGATCTTAGCCATTGTCTCTGTTGTCTGTATTATAACGCAGTTGTCATAATGAAAATTTAATATTTGTTTTCAGGGACCCATTCTCCTTATCAGGAATTTCCCTGATTTTTCTTGTTTTTTCTTCAGATGCTTCTTGGGCCTACTTGTATGACTCAAGTCAGACAATGCTGAACTAAGGGAATCCCTATTGCTTAAATTTGCAGTTGCTAGATTTTGGAAGGAAGAAGAGTGTAGTCTAATATGTGAATATTAACTCCACGAGGGCAGCCATTGGATCTAGCTCATTAGTAGCTGTGTCTCTACCAGTGAGCAGAATACATTGCAATAATATTAATAGATAATCAACAAATATGTCTTGAATCGAATTAATAAACACAAAATGAATGAAGGTGCATTCTTTGGCGCTTTTTTTTTTTTTTTTTTTGAAACGGAGTCTCATTCTGTCACCCAGGCTGGAGTGCAGTGGCCGGATCTCAGCCCACTGCAAGCTCCGCCTCCCAGGTTTATGCCATTCTCCTGCCTCAGCCTCCCGAGTAGCTGGGACTACAGGTGCCCACCACCTCGCCTGGCTAGATTTTTGTATTTTTTAGTAGAGACAGGGTTTCACCGTGTTAGCCAGGATGGTCTTGCTCTCCTGACCTCGTGATCCTCCCATCTCGGCCTCCCAAAGTGCTGGGATTACAGGCTCGAGCCACCGCGCCCGGCCTCTTTGGCTTTTGTTAGCTAAGGCGCCAATCACTGACCACTCCAAAATATTGCATAATGAGTTTACTTCTTGCTTAAGTTATAAGTCAACTGTAGTCTGTCAATGACTCAGTTCCTGATCCATATGTCTTCTTTGTTTCAGGATCCAGGCAGATAAACTTCCCATCTGGAGCGGGCCATTCTGGCAGAGGGGGAAAGGAGGATTGGTGGAAGGGTGGAAACACATTAGATAGAGTTCTTGAAGCGGCTACTTTTCACAGCTACTTACACTGCATTGGCCAGAGCCAGTCAGACAGCCAAGCCTTACAGTGTGGTTGGGAAAGTAAACCCTGACCCCAAAGAGGCACTGTGGGAGGGTGGGTGTGTGTTCTGCCTTCGGAAAAAGGGTAGTGAATCACTGAGGGCAGTAACACAATCGACCACAGAAGGGAGTTACAAGTTTTGAGAAATTGTAGGTTGTGGTTCTCAGTCTTAGCAGAATTGCCTTGTAGTTTAGTCTAAAAATAAGATAAAGAAAATCCCATCTAAAATTATTTATGTTGTATATATCAAAGTATTTTGCTGAAACCTGCTTTATTTTATTTTACACAGGCTTTTCTGGAGTATAAATAGTATAAAATGACATGAGGAAAAGTAGCAAAGTACTGCTAAAATTCATGGTTAAGACTGTTAGTAAAGAGGTACCTGAAGATGAGAAAACTGGTCATGTGTACTTTTTTTCTCTGATTTTTGATGCTAGTCAGCAGCTGCCATTTTGTTTCTTAAAATATATCTTTACTGTTTTTTATTTTTTCAAATCCCAAGGCAGGACATTTTTCTCTCAACTTAAATTTTTTAAAAATACTAATATTCATTGAGCTCTACAGGTGCCAGTCACTGTGGTGAGCCGTCGGGTCCCTTTGTTGCATTTGGTCTTTATAATAGTCTTATGATGATGATTACAGTTGCCGATGAGGTTATGTGGAGGTCCCACAGCTAGTACTGGGGAGAGCTAAGGTGTCATCTCACAGTCTGATCTCTTAACCACTACACCATACTGATTCTGACCTTAATTTTTTTACTTTTTCCCTGTTTCTCCTCTGTAACCTTGAAAGGATAGATGAACACGTGCTCATAAAAACCCATGTATGCGCTCATAAAATGCATGTGTATTGGCAGGCTTGATCTCTCAAGTAGGACTGTCTGGGACACATCTTAGATAGGTGAGGCCATATAAACCAAGTAGCATTTGACACGTAGAATGTGGAAAAAGGGAATGTTTGTTTGGAGACTAATGTTAGTAATGTGAGTATATCTAGGAGTACTAGAATGGAATTGGGAAGAAAAGTTAGAAAATATACCAAAGGACCTAATACTGAATCCTTAGAAGTTTTGCAGAGCATAGAGACTCTGATTGTATATTAAAAAGCATCTGCTTACAAAAGTTACAAATAGAGATAGAGAGTAGTTATTTCCTCGTTTCTTTCTTTTTAAAATTCTTTCTAAGAACCAGACAAGCATGTTATTTTAGATTGACAGGAGTCCTCCTCTTTTCAATATTTATACCATGTACAGATACTGGATTATGACATTTCTAGGATTTTTTGGAAGTTAGAAGTTACCCTACTTTTTAAAATACCAGTTTAAAATTAATCAATTAATTCCACATTTTATGTTATGTTAATCACACAAATGATTTTATGAGTACCTCCCTTTATGTAGTAATCACATCTGACCTGTCTTCAGTCTTCCTTTGATATCTTCCAAAATTAGGTCAAATACAATACTACTTTCTCTTTGAACTCCTAGCTCTTAATGCTGATCCGAATTTTTTTTCCCCACAACCTGATGGTTTTTGCTTTGACTTCACAATTTTGTCACTTGTCATTTGCTTCACACAGTAGTAGTACCTGTTATGCTAGATTGTAACCCTAGGGAGGGACACACACCACATGGTACTCATTTGTATGTCTCTTGTATTTCAGTGAGGTGCTTTTTTAAATTTAATCTAGCAGTGCTGCTCTATATATTATGTTATTTAAGATCCTTCCTTCTCTGCCTCAAGCAGGGCCATTCATTTCTGCCACCTGTCCAACTTATTACCCAGTTAACCCCCTCCCTTCATAAGTCTTGGCCTCCCTGAGCTTGACTGCTTAGGGTTGTTTCTTTGCACAGGAAAGATATAAGTTAATTTTTATCTAATTTTCAAATGGTTATAATCCCCAGTTTCCATGTGTTGAAAATGTGGTCTGTAAATGAAAATGTACAAACAAGTGTTTGTTTGATTCCATGAATTCATTAGGATCTGCTTGTGATTTTGTAAATTGTAACCCTCTCTTAATTCTTTCATTCTTTGTGTTTCCAAATTGCAGGGCCTTAAAGCGGCTGACAATGACCCCACAGCTCCACCATATGACTCCCTGTTAGTGTTTGACTATGAAGGCAGTGGCTCCACTGCTGGGTCCTTGAGCTCCCTTAATTCCTCAAGTAGTGGTGGTGAGCAGGACTATGATTACCTGAACGACTGGGGTCCACGGTTCAAGAAACTTGCTGACATGTATGGTGGAGGTGATGACTGAACTTCAGGGTGAACTTGGTTTTTGGACAAGTACAAACAATTTCAACTGATATTCCCAAAAAGCATACAGAAGCTAGGCTTTAACTTTGTAGTCTACTAGCACAGTGCTTGCTGGAGGCTTTGGCATAGGCTGCAAACCAATTTGGGCTCAGAGGGAATATCAGTGATCCATACTGTTTGGAAAAACACTGAGCTCAGTTACACTTGAATTTTACAGTACAGAAGCACTGGGATTTTATGTGCCTTTTTGTACCTTTTTCAGATTGGAATTAGTTTTCTGTTTAAGGCTTTAATGGTACTGATTTCTGAAATGATAAGTAAAAGACAAAATATTTTGTGGTGGGAGCAGTAAGTTAAACCATGATATGCTTCAACACGCCTTTGTTACATTGCATTTGCTTTTATTAAAATACAGAATTAAACAAACAAAAAAAACTCATGGAGCGATTTTGTTACCTTGGGGGATGAGACCATGAGATTGGAAAATGTACATTACTTCTAGTTTTAGACTTTAGTTTTCTTTTTTTTCCACTAAAATCTTAAAACTTACTCAGCTGGTTGCAAATAAAGGGAGTTTTCATATCACCAATTTGTAGCAAAATTGAATTTTTTCATAAACTAGAATGTTAGACACATTTTGGTCTTAATCCATGTACACTTTTTTATTTCTGTATTTTTCCACTTCACTGTAAAAATAGTATGTGTACATAATGTTTTATTGGCATAGTCTATGGAGAAGTGCAGAAACTTCAGAACATGTGTATGTATTATTTGGACTATGGATTCAGGTTTTTTGCATGTTTATATCTTTCGTTATGGATAAAGTATTTACAAAACAAAGTGACATTTGATTCAATTGTTGAGCTGTAGTTAGAATACTCAATTTTTAATTTTTTTAATTTTTTTATTTTTTATTTTCTTTTTGGTTTGGGGAGGGAGAAAAGTTCTTAGCACAAATGTTTTACATAATTTGTACCAAAAAAAAAAAAAAAAAGGAAAGAAAAGGAAGGGGTGGCCTGACACTGGTGGCACTACTAAGTGTGTGGTTTTTTTAAAAAAAATGGAAAAAAAAAAGCTTTTAAACTGGAGAGACTTCTGACAACAGCTTTGCCTCTGTATTGTGTACCAGAATATAAATGATACACCTCTGACCCCAGCGTTCTGAATAAAATGCTAATTTTGGATCTGGTGACTGGTTTGAACTTTTTCTTTTCTACTTGAGCTGCTTTGAATGTTGCAAAAATCCCAAGTACTGGAGAACAGCAGTACAAAAAGTATGTATTTGTTCTTGCACTATTCACCATTGAATCGCGTAGCATGGCAACCATGTACGGTGTGCAGCAGAGAGAATCATTTTGGACCTTCCCATCATCATAGAAGAAAAACATCAAGTGATTCAGGAATAGACCCTACTGGTGGTGATAGAAAAATCACATCCTTTATCTTCAGTGAACTTCAGTGTCAATTCTTAATATAACTCATGTTTTAATTTGTTTCTGCTCAAGCTAATTGTTATGTTGATTGATAGGCCTTTCCCATTAGAGCCACCACCGTAAGGGAAACTTCAGTAAAGTGGGTTATGGGACTGAACCTGCAACCTGCGTGGACACCTGGAATTCTTGTGCAATTCATTGAAGCCACTGTTTTATGTACTTAGTGAAACACACTTAGATTTGACTGGCTTTTATCCATTGACTTGATCATTTGCTGCAGTTTGATATAGTAATGGTTGTAGAGGACAACAAAAGGAAATTTTGTAAAATTGTTTATGTGTCTTACTAAGATTCATTCTGAATTTTAAGAGGCAAAGAAATTCTCACTTGTATTTATCTGTTTGTTTCTTAATCATTATCACACCATACAGTCTTATACTGTACACTTTGAAAACACTTATATAATATACCTCCTCTAATTAACTATTTTTTGCTTAACATAGACAGTGGAATTTACTTTTCTATTGACTCATTTTGTAGGCAATACTTTCTTGTTACTTTTCTAATCATTAAATGCCAGAGCTTGCCTCTGGGATTTTCCGTAATGAAACTTATTAAATTTGCTAATCAGAATAGTCTTTTCTAAAATTGATTCTTAGACTGTGCCTCCATGCTGTTGTACATCCAAATGAAACAACTATATTTTCAGATTCATACATTGTAACACTTAACATTTATACCATTTAGATAAACACTGTTTAAATTATTTTCTTATGGTTGATGTACAGTTCACAGGCCATATATCTACTGTGTATATATATAAACTTTAAGTGTTTGTAAGGTTTAATATATACACAACCAATAAATGTAAATGTTAATTTTTGTAGGCATACACAACTGTATTTTCTTTGTAAAAACATTCTTTTTATATATAAAAAAAACTAGGAAACTAATAAAAAATGGAAACTCCCTGCCATGCTACAGAAGTAACTTCTGTTTAGCTGGTTGATCTAGTTTCTAGTCCTTCCAAAAAGCATTTTTACACACACATGTCCATAATGATTTTCTTTCGTTTTTATGAAAATGAGATTGTACATTGTGTATTATTCTGTAAGTTGCCTTTTTTTCACTAAGAGTGTATCTTGGAAATTTTTCCATATTAGTATATATGTACACCTACCTCATTCTTTTTAACTGCTACATAGTATTCCATAATATGAACATAATAGTTTTATTGAACCATTTCCTAATTTGTTGTTTCCAATTTTTTGCTATTAAAAACAATGCCACAGTAAACATCCTTGTGCATGTCTCTTTGCATGGGAGTATTTCTCTAATACTAGTAGAGGCTTGGAGATGGAATTGCTGGATTAAAGAATGTGGAGATAAGTTAATTAAATATGGCTGAAATTATAAATGTTTTAGCATGCTTAAAAGTGCCTTTTAGCTGAAAGAAGACAAGGCTTTCTAAAAGCCAGCAACTTCCTCCACTGGCAAAAGGATTTTATGCAGCTCAAAATAGTAACCACAAAATGTAAGACAATCTAGCCAGGACCACCACCTTTTTTCTTTGGAAGTTAGCCTTTGAGTCAAGCCACAATACTAGTTTTAAGTATTCTGTAAAATGACTGTAACCATGTGACATAATAGAACCTTGAAAAGTATACATTTATGAACATGGTTTATGGGTCCCATCCAGAAACATGTTTTTCTAGGCCATTCCTGGTCATTTGGATCTCTTCTGCAATATTGCTAATAAAAAACATGCATACAGACTGTTAGTACCCCTATGAAATAGGTTATTTTCCATGATAAAAAGTATGTGCAGTTTAAATTTTAGTAAGACGCTGCCAAATTTCTAAAAACTATGCCAATTTACACTCCTACCAGCCTGTGTACAAAAATATGTTTACACTCATCCTCAACAGTCCTGCACATCACATACACATTTAAAAGTTTTGCCATTATGATACGCAACAAAAGATACCTCATGTTAATAATTAGAGTTTTCTGATTACTAATGAGGGGATTGGAGATTTTTTTCTTAGGCTTATTAGCCATTTGTGTTTCTTTGAATTACGTATTTTCATTTCCCTGTTGAGTTATTTGCCTTTTTTTCATTAATTAGTTAGGGCTTATGCATTTTTTCATGATTTCTGCTAATCCAGTAAATTTTCTTACAGAAATTTATAGCAAGTTTCATTTTTATGTGGTTTATTCTATGTTTGACTGTAGATTTTTGAGAAGATCTTAACACCTTTAAACTATAAGATTATTATTCTATATTGTTCTCTTACCATTGTTTTGCATTTATCTCTTTAATACACCTAGAAATGATTTTGCATGATGCAGAAATCTAACTTGCTAAAAAATGTATAGATAAAGGTCTGTTTTCCAAACGCTACTTGTTAAAAACGTCAATCTAAACCCAACCATGTGGAATGCATTCTTTACCATATACACACTTATAACACATACACTTACATCACATATCACATACCTATATCACATATACTTACATCACATATACTTATCACATATCTCACACATATCGTATATTTATATAACATACTTGCATATACTTATATCACATATATCACATATACTTGCATTAGAGTTGTGCTATGAGCATGTGTTTGTTTCTGGATGTTTTCTGTTCCATTGATCTTTAGATTCGTGCACAATACTCAATTGTTACACTGAATTATCAGTTCTGAACAAGCCACTTGCAATTTCTTATGTTCTTTTTTCACATTTTCTTTTGTGCATAAATTGTAGAAATATTTTGTGAAGTTCCATAACAAATTTTATTCAAAATTTGATTGAATTGTGAAAAGCTGTTTCATTTACTATTCTATCCAATACTATACTATCGTTCTCATTTTTCACATTATATATACTTTCATGGAATTTCACTAAATATCTCATTTTATTACACTCTAATAATTTTCATTGCTATTACGAGTGGGCTCTACTTTTCATAGCATTTTTTCTAGTGATACTGCTCTGTTGGAAATTTATCAACTTTTATTTCTCGTTACTGTCTTATTTTACTGTTGTATTACTTTTAATAGCTTTTTGGCGATTCTCTTGGATTTTCCTGATAAACAATCATAACTGCAATTAATGACAGGTTTTTCCTTTTTCCAAGATGAATAGGTTTTTCTTTTTTCTGTATCGTTAGTAGCAGTGATCATTATAAGCATTGTTTTATTATTCCTGACTGTAATAGGAAAGCTTTGTATGTTTCACAATTATGCATAACATTTAGTATAGATACAAGTTTCTACTTCACTTACTTTGAGATTTTGTGTGTACATGTTGAATTTTATAAGATACATTTTCTTCATCTACATAGATGATTGTGTATTAGCCCACTAATAGAGTGAATTATATCATTAATGCCCTTAGATTTTCTAATATTGAATTGAACTTTTCTGGAATAAACTCTACTTGGTCATAATGTTATTCTTTTAATGGGTTGATATATTTTATTTGCTGCTATATTAGGAATTTTAAGTTATATGTGATTATCTTATACTTCGTTTTTTCAATATTTTTGCTCAGTGTTAGTATCAGGCTTAATGCTAGCCTAAAATAAGTAATTAGGAAGACTGCCATTTTTCTTATGCTCTGGATTTTATACATCACAATGAACTCTTCATTAAAAATGCTAAAATTCTATAATTTTACCATTGTGGGGACAGGTTTTCTTCAGTAGGAATTGGGATAATTCAGATGTTGCACTTATTTCTGAACAATTTTCACAATTTACATTCTCCTGAAAAGTGTCTTGCAGAATCTAGCTTTTAAAAAAATGTATCAGTAGAAAATTGCATACAGTATTATCTTCATAAACTCTGCATCATACCTTAGGTTGTTTTCTTACCCCCCGTTTCCTTTTACCTTTTTCTTCATCAGGGTAGTCAAATATTCTGTTAAAAGAACTAGCTTTATATTTATTGATACAGATATTCATTTGGTTATTGGGTACACATTTCTCCAAGCCTATTAATTTGTTTTTCATATACAACTAGTTGATTGACCCCCATTACGAAAAGACTCAGAGGGGAGAAAGCAAGAGCACTTCTCTCTCTTTTTTTTAATACGGCAAATTCAGTCTTACGGGTCCTGCTTTTTCATTGGTCATCAGTACTTGTGTAAGGTTTATAGTAAAAGCTAACACATCACCATTTTTTCTGCTTGTTAGCCAGCCTAGTTAAGCACTGGGTGAGTGGGAAAACAGATGATGCTACAGCAGCTAAAACAAGTTTAAGAGAGAGTATTTGTATATTTAAAGTAATTCCAGTACCTTTAATTTCTGGTACAACAAATGGATGTGCTGACGACAGGTACAACTTAAAATCTGAGAACAGGCCGGGCGCGGTGGCTCACGCCTGTAATTCCAGCACTTTGGGAGGCCGAGGCGGGCGGATCGCAAGGTCAGGAGATCGAGACCATCCTGGCTAACACGGTGAAACCCCCGTCTCTACTGAAAATACAAAAAATTAGCCGGGCGCGGTGGCGGGCGCCTGTAGTCCCAGCTACTCGGGAGACTGAGGCAGGAGAGTGGTGTAAACCCGGGAGGCAGAGCTTGCAGTGAGCGGAGATTGCGCCACTGCACTCCAGCCTGGGCGACAGAGCGAGACTCCGTCTCAAAAAAAAAAAAAAAAAAATCTGAGAATATATTTTTTATAATTGTTTTAGCAAAAACTAAGTCTACATGAGAATTGCAATTTTTTTAGACGGTCTTGCT